CCCAAATTTTCAGCCAGATTGGAACACTCTCCGATTTTTCGCGGAGTTTTTTCATTTTTTGCCGACTCTCTGAATAACCCCATTATAGGGTCTTATTCTTATCTTTATCGGCATTAACATAATTTGATCTCTATGATGTCACCAAGGCTTTATGGTTCAGAATGAAATTTCCCAAAAAGGCATGATACTAGGAAATCAGCACAGGCATTCATGTGGTTGTGTTACCTCATCTGAATATAGACCTACCCGAAAGACACAGACCGCAATGAAAAGCGTTGGTACGACTCTTGATTTAGGAAGTGGCTACGCGAAAACCTCTTTAGGTGCAAATGAAGTGAGATGGAAAACTATACTATTTTTATAACACAGAAAAAAAACCAGAGGGAGAAAATCATGGACCTCCGACATCACGAATTTCATGCTCCGATAATGATATCAATTCCATGCGGCTTCTTTCGTGGAACAAAAGTGAAATTCATTGAATAATGGGAAGAAGATTGCGACATTCTTAGTGATGGAAAATTCAGTGGTTAGAATACGAACACTATCAGCTGTCTCTATTTTCTGTTTAGGGTTTTTTTCAGACTCAAATGATTCGGGGTGTTCCTTCCATTTAGATGTGAGGCTGGGGTCATCACGTCATTTGCTCAAATTACAGCTGATTATCAGCGTACTAAGATTGTTCTAATATTATCGCCTAATGGGCAGTCAACTAGGACACAAAAGAAAAAAAACAATAAACATGATGAAGGGATAAGGTCGTTCAGGTCTTCTCTGAAATAAGGAAAAACTGCTTTCCTCTGGAATTAGGAAAACCCGGAAAGTTATAAAAAATGTCTCGTGCTGCTCGTTTTGTGATACGATGAGGTGTTGGATATTGCAATTCGTTGAAGGCCGTTTCCATCATGGGTACTGTAGCTGTCGTGTCTCTGTGTGGTTGGCTTGACAGATGAGCTGAGTCTGGAAAAAGGCAGACAAAAGGCTCCTTCAATGGACCGTTAGTCAATAAGTCGAATACTGACTTTTCATACTTGCAAAAATCGTTTTTCGGTCAAAATTTATCAAAAAAACGTTTGAAATATAAATTTTCGAGAGTTTTTCTACAACAAAAATTGTTTTCCAGAAAAAATGTTATGTTGCTTCAAAAATGTAGTTTTTAAGACGATCCCAACTTTGGAAAAACGTCAGAAAAATAGTATTTTTAAAAATTTTTGTTTAAGCATTAAAAATTAAATATTCACAATTTAGCTTAAAATTAGATGCTATACAAAACTTTAAAAAAAGAAGCTATTTTTCCTTAATTTCGAAGCTGGCGCCAACTGTCCGGGCCTTCCGGGCCTTGATAAACTTTTTGAAGGCCCGGCCTGGCCCGGCGCAAAAATTTGGATTTCGGTAAATGAAATTTTTTCGGAAATTTTTAACTCTCAAAGTTTCGTAATTTCGGTTAGTATTAAATTCTGCTCATTTTTTAGACTTTTCGTAAATTGGGATTATGTGAGAAAAAAATTGATTTTTTTCAGTTAAATTATGCATTCTGTAGCTTATTTCTACAGTGCGTTTCACATTTATACGGTCACCCTAATTTTGGAGTATAACAGGAGAACCGACGAAAATAGGTATCCGGCAATTAAAAAATCATATTAAGGACCTCAAATTACAGGTCGAATTCAGGTCTGAACCTTGTGCAGAGCCTGCGGGGTGCTTAGGAATGCATTCGGGACCGAATGTTCCGATTCGGAGCAGAAGATCAGTTCAGGACAACCAGTACAATCCAAATTTTCTCCAATTCATGCCAAATCGTATTTGTGGCATTATCAATTCAAATGGTGCTGCCACCAAACATTAAATTGTCTATTTTCCGTGTTTTTTCGGAGGTGACCGTATAAATATGGAACGCTTGCAAAGAGCCATTTTTCAGTCTAGGTGACCTAACTTTGTCAGTTTTGTTGGTATCATTATGAAAATTAGCAAGGGTATGTAATTTGAGGTCCTGAATATGAGTTTTTAATTACCGGATACCTATTTTCATCGGTTCTCCTGTTATACTCCGAAATCAGGGTGACCGTATAAATGTGAAACGCAATGTATTTAATAACTAAAAAACTGAATGACTTTCTCAAATTTCAAAATTTTGGTTCCAAGAAAACATGTGTCAAATTGAGCAAATTTAATTGCCGAATCTCCAAAAAGGTGGGTTTATACAAGTTTTCAGTTTCCTGAAGCGTGGCTGCTGCTTTAAATTAGATTGAAAATCTTGGTAACAAGAAAACAAGAAATTATGATACTTTAAAAAAGATACATTTGAACAAACCAATAAAAAACATAAGGATGAGAAACGAGAAATCGTTAGCTAATTACTTTTGGTTTTAACCATTGAAACCAAAAAAGGGGAAGTGATGGCTGAAAGGAAAAAAAGTGAATGATGCACATTGACACGGCACATGTTTTGAATGTGTTTTGACGCCTTGGAATTCGGATAATGGACGTTTAGTGTCATGTCATAGAAGGAGGATGATTTGAGGAAGAAAAAGGAAAACGCTTTTCAATTGCTCAAGTTTAGGTTCTCATTTCTTTAAACGAGGAAGTTTCTGCTTCCAGAAATTATGTTGAATTTATTTCTTCATATAAGTTTTTGGGTTGTAGAATAAAAAAATTATCCTTATTTTTGAATTTTGTTGATAGATAGATTTTTCCATTAACAGTACTTATCAATAAAGACCCATTTTGCATTTATTGAAAATTCCAAGTTTTTCATCTATTTTCCGATTTTTGAATGACAACTGCTTTTTTTTTCAGAGTTTCAGTACAAAAACGGGCAAGAAGGGGTGTTTTTCAAAAATTGACAAATAACAGAAAAGCTGGGGATTTCCAAGAATATTAATTTCAAAGTTTTCAATCTTTGTCTGTTTTACTTTCCTAAAAGTTTTCAAAATTATCAGAAGCATGACAGCCAAGCTCCAGAATCCTGATCAACTGAAAACAAGATTTTGCATATTTCATTGACTCGTACTGTTTCCTTTTTTCAATTTTGAAATAATTCTTTGCATTCAAAATCTATTATTATCGGTTTTCTAAAATGAAATATCAATAAGTTTTGTTTTTTATATGTTTTCTTTTTTCTGAATAATGTTCATGAGTCATTTCTCAAATTGTGAAATTTATGTCATTTTTTCAACATTACAGGATCCGATATTTAATCTTTATATATTCTAACATTTGCAGATGTTAGAGAAAGTATTTTCCGTATATAGCTAGTTCAAAACTATTCACCTTGGGTTTGAAAGTTCCAAAACATGTTTGGCCATTTGCCAGAAAAATTACAATTTTTGGTTCACAATGTTTGGTCCCTCTCTGTTTTCTTCCATATATTCAGTTCGTATGGTCTCCTCTTTTTTTGACGTCCCTCCTGTACGCCACCTGTGGACTACAATGTTTTTGTTTCTCGGGACACTCGACTCCTTTCATTTGGCGCCCCTTTCGGCGCCTTCGTATATTTTAATACATATGTCCACTTGAAATCTGACTTTTTCTTTTTAAGATTACCGACATTTGAAGAGACACCATGCTTTTCGAACCACCCGTACATTTGTACTTTTAATGGGCGGAGCTTCGACTCTCGGAAGCGTATAAAAGAGTTTCTACCATGTTTCAGAAGTCATTTTTCTTTTTCGTTTACTGTTTTCTTGTACATAACTTTGGAATATTCGAATCTTTAAATTCTATCATTCTGGGATTCCGGCTGTATCATTTTTCAGTATTTTAGACCCATTCATAGCTTGACTTCAGGAACGCTGTAGACAGAAAGTTTGAATAAGGAAAATCTGGGTGTTCTGAAATCCTGTAATTTTGGTCACTTGGGTCTCCGGAATCCTGGGATCCTGGAATCCTGGATACCTGGGATATTGAAAATAAGTCAAACTTCTGGAATCTTGGAGTTTCGGAATCCTAGTATTCTGGAAAACCGGAATTTTGGAAACCTGGAATCTCAAAATTCTGATATCAGATGTACCCTGAAGTCTGAAGTTTGGAAGTTATGGAATTCTGGAAGCCTAGAATCCTGGAATCCTGGAATTTTGGAATTTTGGAATCCTGGAATCCTGGAATCCTGGAATCCTGAAATCCTGGAATCCTGGAATCCTGGAACCCTGGAATCCTGGTATTCTGGAATCATGGAATCCTCAAATCTTAAAATTCTAGAATCCTGGAAGCCTAGAAATCTGGAATTCTGAGATTCTGGAATTTTGGAATTTGCCACTATTTCTGGGTCTCTGAAACTTTACTAGATTCATGAACCCATAAAATTTTCCATTTTTCCTGAGACAAAGAATTCACTCTCTTTTTGAACTGAACATATGTCTGTGTATGTTCTCTAACCTGTCACGTGTCCTTTTTTCTGTCTAATTTCTGTCTTCCCCTATTTACTTAATGCAGTTCATTAAGTCAGTAGTTTAATTTTGAAGTTTTTGGGAATCCTGGAATTCTGATGTCGTAGAGTTTTGAAAAGCTATAGCATACAGGAATGCAGGAATCTTGAATAATTGTACGATTCCTGAGATTCCATATTTTCGGGCGATTTCTTCCTTTTCCTTTTCTGAAAATAACTCTAATTCCGACAGAAATTCAAAAATTGGAAAATTTAAAGATTTGCGATCCTAGCAGTTTTAAACTCTGCAATAGTGAAGTTCTGAAATATTAGGACATTTTCTAGAATTCCGAACTCCGGGAGACTTGAGCTCTCAGAACCCTGACAATCCTGAAATTATACTTCCTGGAACCCCCAAAGCCTGAAATGTTTAGAATCAGGAACCTGATACTTCTGAAATTCCAAAATTTCTGAATTTCGTAATACTGTAGATGTCTCTATCTCTGTTGAACATAAGTCTCTGTTTTACGTGCTCACTATTTTTTCTTCTTCTTCCCACATATGTTCACTTGAATTGATTTCACAATATTTAGGTTTAAAAAAGCTACTAACCAACTACAGTCACCGTCCATCATCAATGATCCTCCGTTTCCTGCCGATTATTTCGGCAATTCTCGGATTTGCTCAAGCTGGAGGACAGATCGAGTTCATAGTCAATTCCACGAGGGCTGTCCAGTTGGAAGTGATTACTTGTCCTGTGACCGTTTGTGATGGTCGTGAGAATCAAGTAGAAGTTTTTGAAGTGCCGAAATCATCTCATATTCATTTTCACACAATACCATACGATGGGGTTGCTCTGGAACAGTTTGATTTGCATCTGAGATTCAGAGATTCAACCACAAAAAGTTAGTTTTGAGAAAAAAATGTATGTAAGACCGAATTTCCGTTTCAGAAGGACTTCTCGAATATACCAGGAATGTCAAAGCCGATAATGAGTGGAGAGTTGTCAAGGGTATCAACGATTCCACTGACTTTGATATGGAATTTTATATCAGAAACAAATGCGATGAGTGAGTTAAAAGGAATTTGTACACCCAAAGAGATCAACCGAATTTCCAGAACATTCTACGGACACCAATGCAGCCGAAGGTGCCATTAATCAAAGAAAGATCATTGGGAGTGTACCAGAGATGGATTGAGGCAATGCGCTAAAGGTTGGAAGGGCACCGTTTGTGATGAGCGTGAGTAAACAAGATGTAACAAGTAGTGCAAACAGTACCGACCAATAAAAAAACTCCAGACTTCTGAAAATGGCCAAAATGACCAAAAATCAACTAAAAACTTCATAAAAAGATAAAAATTTCAGCAAAATGCAAGAATGACTGCAACAATCATGGTGTATGTGCCGCTCCTAACAAATGTGTCTGTAGCGAAGGGTTTGTTGGAAACCAGTGTGAGATGTGCATTCCAAGAAGAGGATGTGCTCATGGGCAGTGTGTGCCAGGCATCCCAGGAACTTGTAGATGCCATCCAGGGTTCAAGGGACCACTCTGCGATCAAGGTATTACAGAATGCTTCAATATGTAGAAGACCACCTTATACGTGCAGGTTAAGCTCAATTATCTCTGTTCCTACATGAGGTATCAAAAATTCGTAAACTGATGGAATGTTTCTTGTAAAATTCCCAATACTTTATCAATTGACCAGTTTTTGATATCTTTTGAAGGAAGCAAGATAATTGAGCTCAAAGGCCACTTATTGTAAAAAATTTATTTCCAGACACCTGTTCCTTCATGAAGCCATGTCTGAACAATGGAACCTGCTCGGTGGCTCTCCGCCAGTCTTTGGGATATCAGTGTAAATGTTCGGTGGATTTTACTGGAACTCATTGTGAGAAGCCAATCAGTCAGATGCATTGTACCAATAAGGATCTTTGCAAAAATGGTTATTGATTTTTTGAGAATTGCAATCTAAGAAAAAGATCTTTCAGGTGGAAGCTGTGTGGAAGTCGACTCAAAAACGGTGAAATGCAAATGTGTCGATGGTTATTTTGGAAAGTTCTGCGAGAACGGAAGAGACTGCAACTTTCTCAAGTGTTCCGAAGGGTCATCGTGTCACATGATTGGCACCAACCCGATTTGTATGCATGACGAGCCTGATGCAAACGGTTCGAATGATGAGATTGAGCACAATGATAATGGCGATTATGGAAGAGAAGCTGAGAAAATGTGGATTCTCGGTTGGTTTACTATAAATTTTGTATTTATCAAAACTATTTTTCAGTCATCTTGGCCGTTGCGATTCTAAGTTTCATTGTGCTCAGAAGAAAGCCATTGTTTCGTTGGTGGAACCGGGGATACAGGCATCGTCAAGGGTATTCAACGCAAGTCCGCTATGCTACCAGACGTCAAGTGAGTTGCTACTTATGAAAATTATTTTTAAAAATGGGTTTTCAGCTATCCCCACCGGCAGGCTTCAATTTTCCCAATGCATTCCCACCTATGTCGGTTCTCAACAATGCTGAATCTACCGTCTATGATGAGACTCCACCACCGAGCTACTCGTCCTTGGATATCACTCAGTTGACTGGAAATAGAGCAGTTGATAGAAGTAATGGAACCGAGGAAATGATTGAGAATGCCGAGAATACTGAAAGAGAAATCCGTGGAAGAGCTGAGAGAGCCGAGGAGCCCGAGAGAGCCGAGGAGCCCGAGAGAGCCGATGAAGTTGATGACGCCGAAGAAATCGTGCACGCATTGTTCTAATTCAATTGCACAGTTTTTTCCATCCCAATATCTAACCCAAAATTACCTTTTTTTCCATATTGTCTTTTCGACCGGTGTCTGATTCAAAAAACAGGAAAGAACCCCCCCCCCCCTCCACTTTAATTTTAAAACTAACAATTTCAAATTCCAAATGGTACTGTACTAACCTTGTACTGAATTCTCCCATCTCCTATATTTGATTCTTTCTATGCACTCCCCGATTCTCTCGATTCTTTTTCTCCCGATTTCCTTCTTTCCTTGATATTTTTGCTCCCGTCAATTAATTTTGCATTCCCTCTTCGTCCCAAATGACAAATTACTTGTGCCCTCCCATTGAGTCTAGAATGAGACTAGAATGAATAAAATCTCTTCAATTGGATGATAATTGACTAATATACAAGTTACAACGGCTAGTTTAGCTGCTGAAAACCCGCCAAAAGTTCAAAAACTGATATTTGTTCTATATTTGAATTTTCTCATCTAAAATCTGTTTTGCATGCATTGACAGAGTTATTGATAAAACAGTTTGTTCAGAACATCAATAAAAATCAAGATTAAATCACTACTGTGAATGTGGATATTTGATGTTTCTTCTTGCTTTCCACTGGGATTCTGGATCCATGATTATCCACAGGTTTAAAGTCCGCCGGTAACGTGTCTCCATTGTCACAATCTCCAGAGAAATTGGCGGGGATATCGGTTTCCGAGCAATTATTGGCGAAGTATCTGGATGGTTTCTGGACCAAACTTTGCTCGCCTTGTTCCTTTGCATTTCTGAAATCGTCCTTGAATTTTTTTCAGAATTAAATTTCAAGGTTTCCTTTGGAACAATTTTCTTGTTTAGCTTCTGATTCTCAGCGCCCATTAACTTTCAATTAATACAAAAAATGTTTGGACAGCTTAACATCAGAAGAACAACGTATTTTTCCGTTTAATTTGACAAATTTCTAGAGTCTGTAGCTCGGCAGTCAAGTTTCCGCTCACTTTGAACATTCTGGAGGCCTAGTAAGTTTGAGAACTTTGTTTTCACAAAATTTTTTGAAAACTCCTAGATTGTCAACTATTCATCGATTTCTGAAAGACATCTGGGTTTTTCACGTTTTCAGTACAAAGACTAGTAAAAAAGGTGTGTCTTTTAGAAATTGGCGAATAGCTGAAAAGCTAGGAATTTTCAATAAATGTAATAATTTGAAGTTGTCAATATAGGTCCGTATTACACCCTCCTAAATTTTCAAAGTTATCAGAAACTTAATTACCGAGTTTCAGACTCCTGGCCAAAACCAATTAAAAAGGTACTGTATTCTAGAATTTTAAAACTTACTGTTTCCCATTGAAAATTTTTGGATGGCAAGCAGGGTCTAAATAGTTAAAAACGCAGTTGCAAATTAATTCGCGAACTAGCCTTTGAACCGTGGTGGTAGGGAATACTAGCAGAGTAACGAGAAGAATGAATAACTTCATGTTTTTTCCAGAACTTTCTAGAAAAAAGTGACTTTGGAGGGACTTCGGCCTCCTTTTTATACCCCTCTCCCGTATTCGATTATACCATTTTTCCGTGCGGGGGCGTTGGATTCAGGAATCTTTTTTATGATTCATGTTTTATATTTTGATTGGGAAAAAAGAAAAAAAATTTCGAAGAAATTTTTTTCTCATTTTTAATGATTGTTCTAAGCCATTGCTTTTTATGTAGAGCTTAAAAGTATCAGATCTGACAACCTATACTTCTTTTCTTTTAGAAAATTTCAATGAAAATTAGATGAAACCCCTCTGAGGTTAAATGAACTCGGACCCGAGATGAGTCCAACTTTGTGACAGCTGCATGGCAAAATGGATCACTGAGGGTGGTACAGAACAGTACATGTGAGGTCTGAGAGTGTATAGCATTTATAGTAGCCAGCTGTGACAGATGTAAAGAGTTCTAAACCAAAAAAAAAAGGAAAAAAATGAGCTGGAATGAGAATAAAGGTTTGAAAAAAAACATAGGATAACTGAAAACCGTTTTTGATTACAACAAATGCCGGATTGTTTTTCCAGAGTAGGATGATACACGAAAATTATATGGAACAGATATTCTGGGTAGATACATGTATGGAAATACGGATGGGTGGGTACGGAAAAGGGGTAAGAAAAAATCAGAAATTATACTCAAGAGTTTGAATTTCTTGGGCCTCTGGTCCTGGTGGAAGTAGATCTTCCAAAAATGAACTTCTTGATCCTGTTGTACCACGATCCTCTAGGCTGGTTCGCTGGGATTTCTTCCGTTTCCTCGAGGATGATTTCTTCCCCAACATCTGGGGAGAAATGGACTCTTTTGAGTGGACGTGGTGGTTTAGCCATTCTAAAATTGAAAAGTTTTTTGTGGATTCTATAGGAATGAAACATACTCTGGCTCCTCGTTACTGTTGGTAGTGGTTCCGCGTGATTTCACGTTTTTTAGAATAGAAGCTGTTTTGCGTGGGAGTGGGTTTGGAGTCATTCTAAAATTGAAAGGTTTTCTTGTAGATTCTATAGGAATGAAACATACTCTGGCTCCTCGTTACTGTTGGTAGTGGTTCCGCGTGATCCCACATTATTTAGAATAGAAACTGTTTTGCGTGGGTGTGGGATTGGAGTCATTCTAAAATTGAAAGGTTTTCTTGTAGATTCTATAGGAATGAAACATACTCTGGCTCCTCGTTACTGTTGGTAGTGGTTCCGCGTGATCCCACATTATTTAGAATAGAAACTGTTTTGCGTGGGTGTGGGATTGGAGTCATTCTAAAATTGAAAGGTTTTCTTGTAGATTCTATAGGAATGAAACATACTCTGGCTCCTCGTTACTGTTGGTAGTGGTTCCGCGTGATCCCACATTATTTAGAATAGAAACTGTTTTGCGTGGGAGTGGGTTTGGAGCCATTCTAAAATTGAAAAGTTTTTTGTGGATTCTATAGGAATGAAACATACTCTGGCTCCTCGTTACTGTTGGTAGTGGTTCCGCGTGATCCCACATTATTTAGAATAGAAACTGTTTTGCGTGGGTGTGGGATTGGAGTCATTCTAAAATTGAAAGGTTTTCTTGTAGATTCTATAGGAATGAAACATACTCTGGCTCCTCGTTACTGTTGGTAGTGGTTCCGCGTGATCCCACATTATTTAGAATAGAAACTGTTTTGCGTGGGTGTGGGATTGGAGTCATTCTAAAATTGAAAGGTTTTCTTGTAGATTCTATAGGAATGAAACATACTCTGGCTCCTCGTTACTGTTGGTAGTGGTTCCGCGTGATCCCACATTATTTAGAATAGAAACTGTTTTGCGTGGGTGTGGGATTGGAGTCATTCTAAAATTGAAAGGTTTTCTTGTAGATTCTATAGGAATGAAACATACTCTGGCTCCTCGTTACTGTTGGTAGTGGTTCCGCGTGATCCCACATTATTTAGAATAGAAACTGTTTTGCGTGGGAGTGGGTTTGGAGCCATTCTAGAATTGAAAAGTTTTTTGTGGATTCTATAGGAATGAAACATACTCTGGCTCCTCGTTACTGTTGGTAGTGGTTCCGCGTGATCCCACATTATTTAGAATAGAAACTGTTTTGCGTGGGAGTGGGTTTGGAGCCATTCTAAAATTGAAAAGTTTTTTGTGGATTCTATAGGAATGAAACATACTCTGGCTCCTCGTTACTGTTGGTAGTGGTTCCGCGTGATCCCACATTATTTAGAATAGAAACTGTTTTGCGTGGGTGTGGGATTGGAGTCATTCTAAAATTGAAAGGTTTTCTTGTAGATTCTATAGGAATGAAACATACTCTGGCTCCTCGTTACTGTTGGTAGTGGTTCCGCGTGATCCCACATTATTTAGAATAGAAACTGTTTTGCGTGGGAGTGGGTTTGGAGCCATTCTAGAATTGAAAAGTTTTTTGTGGATTCTATAGGAATGAAACATACTCTGGCTCCTCGTTACTGTTGGTAGTGGTTCCGCGTGATCCCACATTATTTAGAATAGAAACTGTTTTGCGTGGGTGTGGGATTGGAGTCATTCTAAAATTGAAAGGTTTTCTTGTAGATTCTATAGGAATGAAACATACTCTGGCTCCTCGTTACTGTTGGTAGTGGTTCCGCGTGATCCCACATTATTTAGAATAGAAACTGTTTTGCGTGGGAGTGGGTTTGGAGCCATTCTAAAATTGAAAAGTTTTTTGTGGATTCTATAGGAATGAAACATACTCTGGCTCCTCGTTACTGTTGGTAGTGGTTCCGCGTGATCCCACATTATTTAGAATAGAAACTGTTTTGCGTGGGTGTGGGATTGGAGTCATTCTAAAATTGAAAGGTTTTCTTGTAGATTCTATAGGAATGAAACATACTCTGGCTCCTCGTTACTGTTGGTAGTGGTTCCGCGTGATCCCACATTATTTAGAATAGAAACTGTTTTGCGTGGGTGTGGGATTGGAGTCATTTTAAAATTGAAAGGTTTTCTTGTAGATTCTATAGGAATGAAACATACTCTGGCTCCTCGTTACTGTTGGTAGTGGTTCCGCGTGATCCCACATTATTTAGAATAGAAACTGTTTTGCGTGGGTGTGGGATTGGAGTCATTCTAAAATTGAAAAGTTTTTTGTAGATTCTATAGGAATGAAACATACTCTGGCTCCTCGTTACTGTTGGTAGTGGTTCCGCGTGATCCCACATTATTTAGAATAGAAACTGTTTTGCGTGGGTGTGGGATTGGAGTCATTCTAAAATTGAAAGGTTTTCTTGTAGATTCTATAGGAATGAAACATACTCTGGCTCCTCGTTACTGTTGGTAGTGGTTCCGCGTGATCCCACATTATTTAGAATAGAAACTGTTTTGCGTGGGTGTGGGATTGGAGTCATTCTAAAATTGAAAGGTTTTCTTGTAGATTCTATAGGAATGAAACATACTCTGGCTCCTCGTTACTGTTGGTAGTGGTTCCGCGTGATCCCACATTATTTAGAATAGAAACTGTTTTGCGTGGGTGTGGGATTGGAGTCATTCTAAAATTGAAAGGTTTTCTTGTAGATTCTATAGGAATGAAACATACTCTGGCTCCTCGTTACTGTTGGTAGTGGTTCCGCGTGATCCCACATTATTTAGAATAGAAACTGTTTTGCGTGGGAGTGGGTTTGGAGCCATTCTAGAATTGAAAAGTTTTTTGTGGATTCTATAGGAATGAAACATACTCTGGCTCCTCGTTACTGTTGGTAGTGGTTCCGCGTGATCCCACATTATTTAGAATGAAACTGTTTTGCGTGGGTGTGGGATTGGAGTCATTCTAAAATTGAAAGGTTTTCTTGTAGATTCTATAGGAATGAAACATACTCTGGCTCCTCGTTACTGTTGGTAGTGGTTCCGCGTGATCCCACATTATTTAGAATAGAAACTGTTTTGCGTGGGAGTGGGTTTGGAGCCATTCTAAAATTGAAAAGTTTTTTGTGGATTCTATAGGAATGAAACATACTCTGGCTCCTCGTTACTGTTGGTAGTGGTTCCGCGTGATCCCACATTATTTAGAATAGAAACTGTTTTGCGTGGGTGTGGGATTGGAGTCATTCTAAAATTGAAAGGTTTTCTTGTAGATTCTATAGGAATGAAACATACTCTGGCTCCTCGTTACTGTTGGTAGTGGTTCCGCGTGATCCCACATTATTTAGAATAGAAACTGTTTTGCGTGGGTGTGGGATTGGAGTCATTCTAAAATTGAAAGGTTTTCTTGTAGATTCTATAGGAATGAAACATACTCTGGCTCCTCGTAACTGTTGGTAGTGGTTCCGCGTGATCCCACGTTTTTTAAAATAGAAACTGTTTTGCGTGGGAGTGGGTTTGGACCCATTCTAAAATTGAAAAGTTTTTTGTGGATTCTATAGGAATGAAACATACTCTGGCTCCTCGTTACTGTTGGTAGTGGTTCCGCGTGATCCCACATTATTTAGAATAGAAACTGTTTTGCGTGGGAGTGGGTTTGGAGCCATTCTAGAATTGAAAAGTTTTTTGTGGATTCTATAGGAATGAAACATACTCTGGCTCCTCGTTACTGTTGGTAGTGGTTCCGCGTGATCCCACATTATTTAGAATAGAAACTGTTTTGCGTGGGAGTGGGTTTGGAGTCATTCTAAAATTGAAAAGTTTTTTGTGGATTCTATAGGAATGAAACATACTCTGGCTCCTCGTTACTGTTGGTAGTGGTTCCGCGTGATCCCACATTATTTAGAATAGAAACTGTTTTGCGTGGGAGTGGGTTTGGAGCCATTCTAGAATTGAAAAGTTTTTTGTGGATTCTATAGGAATGAAACATACTCTGGCTCCTCGTTACTGTTGGTAGTGGTTCCGCGTGATCCCACATTATTTAGAATAGAAATTGTTTGGCGTGGGAGTGGGTTTGAACCCATTCTAGAATTGAAAAGTTTTTTGTGGATTCTATAGGAATGAAACATACTCTGGCTCCTGGTTACTGTTGGTAGTGGTTCCGCGTGATCCCACATTATTTAGAATAGAAACTGTTTTGCGTGGGAGTGGGTTTGGAGCCATTCTAAAATTGAAAAGTTTTTTGTGGATTCTATAGGAATGAAACATACTCTGGCTCCTCGTTACTGTTGGTAGTGGTTCCGCGTGATCCCACATTATTTAGAATAGAAACTGTTTTGCGTGGGTGTGGGATTGGAGTCATTCTAAAATTGAAAGGTTTTCTTGTAGATTCTATAGGAATGAAACATACTCTGGCTCCTCGTTACTGTTGGTAGTGGTTCCGCGTGATCCCACATTATTTAGAATAGAAACTGTTTTGCGTGGGTGTGGGATTGGAGTCATTCTAAAATTGAAAGGTTTTCTTGTAGATTCTATAGGAATGAAACATACTCTGGCTCCTCGTTACTGTTGGTAGTGGTTCCGCGTGATCCCACATTATTTAGAATAGAAACTGTTTTGCGTGGGTGTGGGATTGGAGTCATTCTAAAATTGAAAGGTTTTCTTGTAGATTCTATAGGAATGAAACATACTCTGGCTCCTCGTTACTGTTGGTAGTGGTTCCGCGTGATCCCACATTATTTAGAATAGAAACTGTTTTGCGTGGGTGTGGGATTGGAGTCATTCTAAAATTGAAAGGTTTTCTTGTAGATTCTATAGGAATGAAACATACTCTGGCTCCTCGTTACTGTTGGTAGTGGTTCCGCGTGATCCCACATTATTTAGAATAGAAACTGTTTTGCATGGGAGTGGGTTTGGAGCCATTCTAGAATTGAAAAGTTTTCTTGTGGATTCTATAGGAATGAAACATACTCTGGCTCCTCGTTACTGTTGGTAGTGGTTCCGCGTGATCCCACATTATTTAGAATAGAAACTGTTTTGCGTGGGAGTGGGTTTGGAGTCATTCTAAAATTGAAAGGTTTTCTTGTAGATTCTATAGGAATGAAACATACTCTGGCTCCTCGTTACTGTTGGTAGTGGTTCCGCAGTGATCCCACATTATTTAGAATAGAAACTGTTTTGCGTGGGTGGGGC